TCCCCAAAACCCCAAAACCCCAAAACCCCAGTACTGAGGGAGATGCTTGAAAAATAATAATTTTAAGGTAAGTATTTCATCATGGCTGCGTTGTAATCTATAAGATTACTCCTCTGGAGTGGACTTTTCAAGTTCTATTGCAGAGATAAGTTTCAGGGAATCTGGTATAAATATAACCCAAAGTACTTTGATTTGTTCTTATAAATTTTATGTTTCTTGCTCATAATCAAGACTGTTTTCTCAGACTCTAGTCGTGAAGCATTGAGGCAATGTTTAAGATAAACATACTTTTTGCAAGCGATATATAGCATTTTAGTCATATTGTTAAGACTTGCTTATGCTATTTTTGTTTACAGAGTGATAGTTCTCAAATGGATTTCTTGTGCTTGAATTGAGAAGCGCTGGATTAATCCTAAGACAATTAGTGATAGAGTAAATAAATTCCCAAAATTACAAAAAATGCCTACGTTGACTTAATCCACTTAATACTTCTTTGGGTCAGGTCTCTGAATTTTATTGTTCATGGAAACCTCAATAACGAGTAATAGATATAAGTAAGACCGCGAGTTGCCTTTTTAAGACTTATTTTATCTAAAAACTGAACTTTCTCTGCTAATTTGTTTGAACACAACTGAGTACTTAATTTTCCCTATTTTTCTTCTTGAGAGTTTGAGGTACTAGATGGCACTGAGTAAGGAACTAGCTATAGATATGATGTTCCACACCACAGCTCATGTCTTTGACCTATCGTGGTTGGGGTATGCTTCAAAGAAGATGGTAGTGAATTAGTTTAATGCTAAGCATCACTCTGTTTCCTTTAAAAGGTATTGAAGCTATCATACATATCAAAAGTCATAGTGTTGCCACAATTTTATATATTTTCATACTTGAACCCTTTGCATATATCTATAGCTAAAGACTTTAAAATCGTCACTGAATTTTTAGAAGTCCCATTACAAATTTTGAGGATGTAACCTAATGTAGTCATGGTCATGAATTTTTAGGATTTTATGAATTTTCGTTCCTAAAGCCTGCTGAATTTTTCTTATATACAGAAAGCATTCCAAACTGTATTTCAGACTGTTGTGGATGCAAGGAAAATTTTTAGGTTATTTCAAAATAATCTTGAAGACTAACCTAATAACTCCGTTTTTTCTCTTTAGTTTTGATACCTAAAATTTAGGTCTGAATATTAAGGTTAGGGACTCAGACTAGCTTTGTGACCTGCCCACTGATATAGGGTCTGTTAGCTTACCCCTCTTCAGTTAATTGCAGTATTCAGAAAAATTAGGAAAAATCTTGGTAGGCTAAGAATTTTTATTTTAAACATCGAGGTGTCTTAGGGTCTGTAGACATCCATATCAGTTGATTTGAATTTGCTAAGCTTTATTCTTGCCCCTAGTCGTCATTCTTGAGCATAATTTAAAATCCTTCACAATCCTGGTCTAGTTAAAATTCTTGCTTAAAGTTCCAATGTTCCTGGAAGGTCCACAAAACCGTGTTTCAAGAGCTTAAAATGACTCCAATCCAATTCTCAGCTGGTATGATTGTTTTAGTGATCAACTGGATAAATTTGAAATTTTCTCCCAGATTAATCTTTGAAATAAATTGTGAGTATTTATAATTTCATAAACTTTTAAATTAAAATTCTTTACCTTCATAAACGATCGATTTATTCATGGGTAAAGCTCAAGCAGGATAATCATATGTCAAGTAAGAGCTAACGGCAAGGAAATAGGTGTACGTGTCCCTCAGAGACCTTCTTGGCATGTAAACTCGTAAAGCATATACCTCATGAGTCTTATCTGGTTGTATTTCCTTAGACATATTCTCTGAAGGTTTAGATCTCAAGAGGAGTCAGTAGCTCAAAAGTCTTCTAAGACAATTTACTATTACCTGAACTAGGCTCTATAGAGAGTTTATGACAAATTCTGAAAACTTCGTTTTTCGGTGAATTTCAGACGTCGCGGAACGTTTACTCTTTAGCAGATTTATTTGAGACATATATCCCAATCTTGGTGATAAACATGAAGGACTACTGTGAAACATACAGAAAGAACCTTAAAAATTTACATCATATCATTAAGCCTATAATTAAGACTACTCTTGGTAGAGTTATCTCTGAATTGACAGAGCAAGTCTAAAATTTAGCATGAAGATTTTTCTGGAAATCTTAATTTCAGTGAATTTACTTTAAAGCTAAAAATTAAATGTCATTACTCTTCACTAGCAATTTTGTAGTTACTAAGTCTTATTCTTACACCAGATGTATCTAACGAGCTGGGTTAGTGGAGCTAGAACCCTGCAAGTTTGTGCCTCTTTCTTTGCATTATATAGTTAAGGGATTCATTGCCTTCTTGAAACAATAGCTCCATTCGATTTGTGAGAGTTCAGAGTACAATTAAGTACTTCTATTTTCATTTCATCTTACTGTGTTGATTCTTGAGAAATGTTCTTGATATAGTTTTTAAACCTGAAAGTCAATCTTTCTGTAGAGTTCGCCTAAAAGATTCTTTAAAGAGACTTGGAGACTTCTTCTTACTCCAAAGCACTCTTCTTTGAAAATAGAATTTGATTTTCTTATTTGAGAACTCTAATAGCTTCATAGATGAAAAACAACAAAGAGTATCAACAAAACTACAGCGTTAATGACCACATACCTTCAGAAATCCGAATGGTAAAGTTTTGTATCTGCTATTATACTTTTATGCTTCTCATATTCTGAGCTTTTGACTTTTCCGCGTGATTTATAGAGAGAGCAATATTACCCACGATTTAAGAAGAAAAAAGGAAGATGGTCCAACCAAGAGCACCACATTTTCATCACTTGTAAGTTTGAGTATCATCTTGTAGGCCTCAAGACGTATGGCAAAGACTGGGACAGGCTCGAAGAACTCGTAAGATTGCATACTTATCACTAAACAACTGTTGTGTAGATCCCAACCAGGTCAGGCTTGCAGATTAGATCTCACTGACAGAAATACTTTGATCAGATCAAGAAGGAGCACAACACAGACAACCCCATGGAGTACATCCTGAAGGACATGTGCGACAAGTCCCCGTACTACCAATTCGACCTGCCTCAGCTGACAGACCCAGTGCTGAACCCTCAGGTGCAGATGATGATGGCTCAGAGCCAGATCGATCACTTTGCTCAGGAGCAGAGGCTGCAGAAGCCGAAGTATCTGAAGCAAGATAAAGAAGAGGCTTCGATCGACAGCTCAGGATATTTCAATGGGGAAGATTCAAACAAAATGAAGAAGAGAGATCTTAAGGCCCAAATTAAGAATATTCAAGACTTCAACTCTTCAAGTGAAAGTAAGGAAAAGAGGCTCCAGAGAGAGTCCAACTCAGATTCATCAGGAAAGTTATTCAAGATACAGAGAGTATCAAAGAACAAAGAAGAATCATTTTCAAACTCAAATGGTGAAGTCAAGAAGATGAGTGATACAAAGAGTAGTGAGCCTAAAGGAAGCATAATGAATAAGCCTCAGAAAGAAGTTATGCTTAATGTAAAGCAAGGTAATAGTATTGTTCTCCTGAATAAGGCCAAGATTGTGATTCAAGGAACCAGAATTGAATCAAGTATTCCTATGAAGTTGCAGAAATACGATAATGATTTGAATTTAACAATCCCAAAGTATCCTTGCCAGGTCAGCATAGAGCCACTTACCTTGGAAGACGAGGATTTGGGGTCTCAAATAAACCAAAGAATGGCTAGTCAGAGCTTAACCAAAAAGATCCAGAAATCTTTGATGACAAATGGAGGTAATAGTACCAATACCACAAGCAACAAGGATTATGGTGAAACTACAATGGATCAATATGGAAATTTCTCGAAAGAAATTGATATTATTCTGAAGACCTTCTGCTGATGTGCAAGCAATAGTAATTTTAAGTAGATTTCAATCAGATCTAAAAGGTGTGGGGTTTTGGGGTTTTGGGGTTTTGGGGTTTTGGGG